AGTTGTTATTAAAGTCTGCATGACTTGGCACGGGTACTAAACAATCCAACCCTAATACAGCTGATGGGATGAGCATCGAGTTTCTCAGGGAATACAGTAATCTGGACTCAAGAGCGTGGTTTTATGTCCGGCTGGGTTTGAAGAACGTCTGATTGGCACTTCACGGATGCCCTAGCACTATCCGGGTTTTCGGGAGTCGCAGGTCTCTATGGGGTAATAAGTGAATATGGGAAAAATGGCCCGTTCTCTCATAATTTTTGTAAAGTTCTCTGCATAGCAATGAAAGCTAACTGACATCTGTTCGCAAGTCCTGACCCTTGTGGTCAACCACCATCAGCGAGTGACCACTTGTGATTCTCTTAGGCTGAGAAACATGTTATGAAGGAAAAAATTATCCACCCGCAATCTCTAGCTAGCTATATCATGTTAGCATTAGCCGCACAAGCCTTTTTTACTCGTAACAAAAACTAATAGAAAAAAAGCTGTTCTCGGTGGCGTAGCATAAATCGTATCCTCCTACCCAAAATCCCCCGGTCAGACTCGCATGATACATGCTCACGACCGTTCCCGACAAAAGCAAGCCAGGACCCCACTGTCTACCTTTACCTTGTAAATACACTTGCGCCCGCTAAGCATAGCCCTGGCAGATCTGTCGATTACGTTTGACGCCTAAATGCTTGATTGCCGGTAATATATACTGTGGGTAGATGGAGAACGGGGCTTGGAGTGAGGGGGTTGAGGGGGTTCGAGTTGGTGATCTGTACGAGTTTCGGGGCCCGGAAGGCTGGGTTAGGAGGCAGTGTGATCCTTATTTTGGAAACGCATCATTCGGATTAAGCCGGGAAGGTGGGTAACATGCTGATGAGAAGTTCTAGGATGGGATGGGACTGACATTAGTAGTTTCGCACGATGTGTTACATTTAGTTTGGTGGCTCGGTGGGGTTCTGTCATAGTAGGGGTACATTCCGAAGAAACTTATAATTGAACGGGGAGTTTTATTTTTATACTTCTTCTTTCCAACTTTAGAATTTATTGCCTCACTGTCAGGTGTGCTTTAGGACCCTTTTGGTGTTGGAAGTCTAGACCGACCGGAGTGTTTTGATGGGCGCATTTTCATTTTCATTTTCATAGGATTGAAAGGTAGGGTTCATGTGTAAAGCCTCAGGGGGCGAATGTGTCAACAGCAAAGCCCACCATGAATGGTTAAGCCACCCGGTCCCCTAAAAAGAGGAACGGATCCTGGATTCTCGGCACTTTCTAATTCGTATAGTAATACGACACCTTGACATTGACTATCTTGGGGAAAATGCATTCCGATATCGTACTTTATGAATCGCGGGGGGGGGGTGATCCTAACAGGAGTTCAGGTTCCTTTTACGGAATAACTATCAATTCCATCTGGGGCTTCTGGGCAATCATCTCACCGACCGTGCTCTGCAGGCTGACGTAGCCACCCCCTAAGCTTCACACACCATATCATACCTCTTATCACCATGTTACACGGGTGCCGTCCCGGAAACGCTGGAAGAATTTCGGCTTGAAGACCTTCAAGCGCTATTGTTCCGGGGGTAGACCATCCGGGCCTTACATCTATTATGGAAACTTCCTTAATTTCCCCCAAAGATGGGGTAGCATACCATAAAATATTTTCGGGTGAGTTCTGATTTCCTTCCAGCGCTACCCTGCCACATTGCTGATGATATTGAGGCATTCGTTAACGCCTCCAAAGCTTTAGATTTATCAAGATCTACCCCTAAACACGGGGTAGAATATAGGACTTCGGAGCTCAACTTTCCAGCACCGGTGTTATCCTCCTCTACTTCAAAGCGGTGGCCAGAATTTTAGTGCACAAGTAATGGTGTTATGCGATCCGGCAGGAGCCTCTTCCATCACTCCCGAACATTAAACTAACTAGTTCGGTATTATGTGTTCTATCTTTCCCCTGAAAGGATCAAAGGATTCCGCTGCTGTAGTAAAAACTGCCGTGTCTTCGCTCTGGGAGTGGGAACAGACATCTATCGTTTCCGGTCTCATTTGCCTTTCGGCCTCGAGCGCCACACCATAGTTTGGCTTTTGGTTCGTGTTCTGACTTGCCTCCCCCGAGGGCATAATATTTGCGCCGGGGTGTCTAGTTCTGCGGGCCAGGGAGGGGATTTGAACTTGCGCAGGGATTCGATCTAGTAGGCAGTGTGCTCGGTAGTCCAAAGTTTCCCACCCTGGAAGTGGGGGCGAAGAGGGTAAAAGAAGGTCGTTCGGCTCCATGGAAGTTGGGAAAAAAAAAAAAAATAACACACCACCGGAGGAGGCAACTCTGGGCACGTAGCACACACTTGCATTTTAGTCGCACGTTATAGGGTCCAAAACCCGCTTCCTAGGGCTGGAGTCAACATCGGGTGCTCCAATACAGTTTTCCCCCCCTTGAGAGACAAACCCCATGAAACTACCCAGAACAAGCGAGTTGTCTGGCTCCAATGTTTTATTGAGTAGGTGGTTGAGAACGGGAAGGTCGGCATTTTCTGGAAAATACAGTAAAGTTAATTTATGCCATTATTCCTATCTTTGTACCGGAACGTATCGCCGAACAGACCGAGGGGAAAAGAGGGTCGACTTTACCCATAGGTGTCTAGCACTAACCGACTGGACTGCTGAAACCTTAGAAATATCATGCCACCTATGGTTGCCGGTTGCGTCGGATGCATTGGGATGCTGCGGTAGTTCTCGTGTTCTTGGACTATGAGTGCTTATGGCGGTGACACGTCTCGAAGTGATGTGTGCGCAGCCGCGAACAGGTATCCCATTATCGGGTCAATGGACGGCAACACGGATGGTCAAGCTATTTATTGTGTTACGCCCCTCTCTCGAACCGCGAGCAGCTCTGGATTTTTTTCCCTATTTGCTCTCGTTACCAATTCTTCCTATATATTGGATTTATGAGGTCAAAAAACGCTAAGCTAGGTTCAGATTTCTAAATCCAGATCTTACTTCTAAAAGTCGGAAGATAGCGCCTGCCAAGCCACTCACCAAAAACAATGACAGGGGTGTCAAGGTTTCAGCAGTTCAGAATACCGGTATCCCAGTCCACCGGTAGATAGCGATTGTTACGATGAAGTCAGGTGATTTGTGCGGATTTCGTGGCCGTGGAGTCTGAATAGCCGGTTTCCCTCCTGTTTCGCTTCGTTCATACGGTAGTCGGGGAAAACAAGTGTGGCACGGCTCTTTTTTGTAACAGGCTGATACCTTGTGATTTAATCCCAGGGTATAAGAAAATGAAACACCAATTATGTATACATGATAGTAGAGGAGTAATACAGAGGTTGTAATATTATTTCAAGCACCGATAGTCTACAAAATGAGAATTTTTTAACAATAGAATCTAATGAAATACATGAAGAAGTGTTTCTCTTTCTTTCAGTATAGGGTTAAGTCACAGCGTATCACCCTCCTAAAAGGAGAGAGGCGTTTGACCTTGCTTTCCCCGACTATGAGGGAAGCGAAATAGGAGGGGAACCGGCTATTATCCCGCACCATGGCCGAGCAAGCCAGTGCAGGTTTTGCGGTTCCCGAGCGCGGTTAATGCCCTAGGTTATCCTCAGTTCTCTACCAAAGCAAGAATAACCACGGTGCTCTTGCAGTGACCTGACCGCTAGCGACTTGCTTCCATAAATAGATGAGGTTTGTGTACCTGTGCAGCGCGGGTAGAACACTTATGATACTCGAGTAGCATATAGGTAGTTGTCGAGCATAGACCCACCTACCGGTACTACTGGGGTTCGCGAGGGGCCGCTCGAATGCTCGTGCTCGCGCCGTTGCCGGTTCCTGGGGAATGGAGGCGCGGGGTAAAGGCAGACAGCGGCAGGGTTCGGGAGAGTTTCATGCGTGGTTTGCTTGGTGAAGAGCTTTGGTGTGTGCGGAGCCCTTTTTTGAATACAAATCTGGCAGACAGACTTGAAACCCGGCGCTCGAGGAGCCAGGGTTTCTCCTTACAACCCTGGAGCCGAATTCCTCTACCGGAACTCGAGCAATGCAATCTCATTATCCTCGGGACAGGATACAGCATTATCTGATGATACTGGAAATGTCGCTGGACCGGTTAAATAGGGTTTGGATCAATAAGCGAGAAAAGTTTGCATGAAAGTCGCCGGCTAGGGTTAAGTTTTGATGATCATCTGGGACAGGGTGCTGTTCTGCCTTGCTCTCGCTCGCCTATTCAGCCACACTTTATTTGACCACTGCTAAAGCGCCGTTTCCGGTGTCACCAGATAATCCGATAGGAAACCTACTGGTTCCGATTGACCAGTTTTGCTGCGTCTACGGTACTCCGATACTGGATAGGGGAAGGCGCCTTGCACTGGAAGAGGGGGGTAGTGGTTTTTTACTACCAAGGGGAGGCCTATTGTGGCTGTGCTTTTTACGGGAACGCAAGCGAATACTCGACTAAACAGCTGACCAATTCTAATGGGGGTGAGTAAGCCCACGCATACGCTCACGAGAGGTTATGGACAAATTAGGGGAGGGAACGGTAGTAGTACGCGTACGGGTCCTGGGCAGTTGGTTCGCCGGGTGGAAGGGGGTACGCACGCATTGGGCTCCAGATGTACCTAGTATAGGCCCTCAGACACCGGCGGATAACCTGCGATGGGTTTGTTTAATCCGGGTGTTTAGGTGCTGTTCTGTACAGTACTTCCTGTCCGTCCCTTGTATGTTGTCGGAACCCGAGGATCTACCCACCATGCCACCAATCAAAAAAAAAACGGATATTTTAAAAGATAGTTCCCTAAAGTGAATACAAGTAGGCTATCGTATCCCAAGGCTGATGCCGCTAGAGGTGGCTAGAGTGGTCTACATTGGATTTCAAATAACCTTAAATAGAACCTCCTCCTCTCAACCTCTCCCAGGTCCTAGAACGGCTTGCATTCCTTTCACAAGGCAAGAAACAGGCGAGTGTTCGTTTATCGAGTCGCTGCTCAGCTAATATCAAATTTCAGGAAGAATTTACCGAAATGGACGGCGGGCTCCCAGATGACCATAACTCCGGCGGTGGGAGCGAATCATCCTCGATAGAATTATTAACTCCAGAATCTGAGTCCACTCAGGAATTTTCGAACTCCATCTCGTCAAAATGGAAGCCAGTTTGGTACACGGGCTGGCACACTGGCGTCTTGGCCTGCGCCACTTCCGCCGTGCTGGTTCTGTTTATAAACATCAGTTTAACGATCTACGCTGCTTCGAATCCAGAGTACAAGATGAAAGGAGGCGTTGGGACCTTGTATTCGGGAAATTGCCACAAGAGCAGGAAAATTGGGATGTGGCTGCACATGGGGATAAATGTCCTTTCCACGCTGCTGTTATCCGGGAGTAATTATACACAGCAGTGTCTCGCAGCGCCTACACGAAGCGAGATTGACGCTGCGCATGCGAAGAGACGATGGATGGACATTGGTGTTCCGAGTGTTAGAAATTTGTTTAGGATTAAGCTGGAGAGGAGGATCTTGTGGATTGCTATCGGGTTCACCAGTATTCCGCTGCATTTGCTGTACGTTTATATTACCATCCACGCCCGGGTCCTAGGTGGGGCTAATGGGAAAGTTGCAGGTACAATTCTGCAGTGTATACTTCGCTAGCGGCAAATGATTTTGTCGTGGCTGTTGTGAGCAAGGACCATTTTGAGCCGGGAGCCTACTCCAACATGACCGAGACGTTAGTCGCCTCCCCCGATCAAGAGTGGCGGTTCAACAACGCGGTTGGGACGCCATATAGGACTACCAGGAGGTACCAGACGGATTCGGAAACTATCCAACTCTTCAGGAGGGTACTCGAGGGATACGACACTGGAGCCGAGGACTACGATGACCTGACAACCTCAGACTGCACAAAAATCTACAACACTGACTTTGTGTCCAACCGTAGGAATCTATTCCTGATTACTAAACTTAGTTCCAACGCCACGTACAATAACACAATCCTGGACATGATAAATATCAAGAGCTCAGATACGGCGTCAAGTGATTGGATGTGCACTTACAACTCGAGCGGTGACAGTGGGATTCTGAGGCCGGTCAACTTCGTGTGCGATCCCCACGAGATAGTCACGAACGTGGCGCGTGGCCTTCCATGGCGCGTGAGCCTTCATACAGGGGACAAGGTGGAGATAAGTGGATGCAAGAGTGAGAGGACGGATGAGAAGTGCCAGGTGCAGTTCTCCCTAGGGATAATGATTGTCGTTATCTTCTGCAATCTTATTAAAGCTTGCAGTATGATCATGACAGTAGTTAGATCCCGGGAGCCCACTCTGGTTACATTGGGAGATGCTGTAGACTCCTTTTTGGGGATCCCAGACCCGGCGACAGTCGGGATGTGCTTCGCCGATCGAGATTTCGTCGATAGGCAGTGGAGGCGTGGGTGGAGGGGTGGACAGAAGCAACACTGGAAGTTGAAGGGGGCGCAGAGGTGGTGGACTAGCGTTAGTAAGACAAGGTGGATAACTTGTAATTTCATTTGCTTGATAGTTATCGTTGTTTCGGGGGTGTTGCTTCGATATGGGATTGCCAAAGACGCGAGGTGCTGGGAAACTGACATTAGATCAATGTAGGTTTTCCCCTCTGCTAACACTCAATGGGAAAAATATTGATGAGAAGACAAAAAGGTGGACTAGAGGCTTTGGCAAAATAAACAGTGTCTCCCTAGTCAGGTTCTACTTCGGGAACATAACCGAGGCAATCCTCCTAGCCAACCTTCCACAGGCAATCCTCTCGTTCCTCTACCTAACCTACAACTCGCTCTTCACCTGCATGCTTTCGGGCTACGAATGGTCCCTCTTCGGTCATCACCACCGCACCCTCCGCGTCACATCCCCGCGCCCAGGGCAACACTCCACCTACTGGCTTCAAATACCTTACGCCTACGCCATCCCTCTAATGACCCTGAGCGGCCTCCTCCACTGGTTGGCCTCGCAATCGGTATTCCTCGCGAGAGTCGAGATATCGGGCCCGCTCGGGGGGGAGATTTCGTCTACGATAAATACTGTGGGATACTCCTGCATTGCTATCATTTTCGTACTCATACTGGGGACCTTTGCCCTGCTGGCTGCTGCCGGGATGGGATATAGGCCGTTTGCTGCGGCGATTACTACTGTCGGGGGTTGTTCCGCGGCGATTTCAGCGGCGTGTCATGCTTGGGGGGAGGAAACGGAAGTGATCGTAGGGAGGAAGGTGCGCTGGGGAGATGTAGGGATTGGGGCAAATCTGGGGGTGGGACATTTGACGTTTTCGGCAGAGGAAGGGGTTGGGAAGCCGGTGTTTGGAGGGGCTTATGCTGGGATTGGGAGAGAGGGGAAGTGATTACTTGTTATCATGTGGCTGAAAATGTTTCTTTCTTTTCATCAATTTACCGGGAAAAATATAGTTTGGAAGATTGGGGCTTTGCACATTCTTCGGGATATTTGATTCGTACCGAGGATTATATTGTATATTGTTACGGTAAATAATCTATGATAGGCTAAAAGTCGGGTCTAGTTCGGGAAAGAGAAGTGGTGATTCTGGAGCAACAGCGCGGGGAGAGGGCTTGCATTACCGGGGCCAAGTACCTACACACACTAGTGATGTACAGTATAGTACCCTTAAATAACGGCGATTGCGTAGATGGAGATATGTAGGCCGCCGTGTGGAGTTCGGCGGGGGGATATGCTTCGAATTAGGACCTCCTCTCCTTATTTGCCCTTAAAGTGCGGCTTCGGTTCAATTTTCAGATAGCGCGTTGATGGACTTCCCGAACCCCTTTAGGTTTTCGAAGTGGAGTTCTTAAACACAGGCGCCCCAAAACATTTGTTGATGAACATCACATCGCCTCTTCGTTCCAAAACTGCTTGAGTGGGAGCGCCTAGGGAGACTTTCTCCTACAAGACAGGGATGGCTAACCAGCAAAACCTGTCTTGTTCGAAGGCATCTGCTTTAATATCTGTACGTTCAGATAAGATCCCTACTCCCGCATGTTCCGAAAAATTAATAGAACACTAACTTATATCCCAACACTGCACAGCCACGACTAATCCTTACAGGGCTCCGATCTTGGCGAAGTTGTGAGCTTTACTCGGGCCGCTTGGGACAGTGCTTGGGGCTACTTGCCCTCTGAAGTTCTCATAAGCTAACGCCGAGCCTGGCGCAGTTTAGCATGGGAGTTTGATTCCCGGGTGCTTATGTTATCCACCTCCGCTTAAAAAAGATGGCTAGGATTTTAACTTTTAGGCGGTGCAGCAAGGGGTACAAAACATTCGAAATGCTTGCACTGCTCAAGTGCCATGGTTTGCGGGGGTAAACCTGCCGACTGCCGGGGCATACCACCGCTCAGAACTGCGACCTCTCCCAGGTCAGAGATTCTGCGGGTGAAGAAACCCAGCCTTGGCACCAGACGGGGAATTTTGTGCGACAGCCTTGTAGCATTTTAGTGCTGTGATTTGATCTGATATCAGTGAATATACTTTTATCATAGCCAAATTAAGAGATAAGTTCCTGCGATACACTCATTAGAGACTCCAGACCAGTATGTCAAGTTTCAATGCTGATATCGCTAAAAGCTATCATCGTGGCAAGAGGCGGAGTTTCTAATAGCTATAAATAGAGCCTTCCCCCGCAACTACTTCTAAGCTACAGTACAGCTTTCTTTTCTCCTGCAAGATAAGAAATAGGTAAGTATCTATTTCTCAAGTTGCGTGCGAGATAATGTTGAATTTCAGAAAGAAATTAGCGAAATGGAGGGCTACGATACTTGGTGATGGTAACGTCAACAGAGGAGAGGGGGGAGGAAGCAAATCCACTTGGATCGAATTATTTACATCGAAATCCGAATTCGCTAGAGGGCGGTGGAGCACCCTCTCATCGGTCCGGAAGCCGGTTTGGTACACAAGTTGGCATTCCGGTGTCTTAGCCTGCGCCACTTCCGTCATTGTTGTCCTGTTCATAAACGTCGGTCTAACAATCTACGCTTCAACGAATCCCGAGTACGAGATGGAAGGAGGGACCGGGACGCTGTATTCCGGTGGTTGTGGGAAGACTAGGAAAATCGGGATCTGGCTGCACCTAGTGATAAATGTTCTTTCCACAGTGTTGTTGTCCGGAAGCAATTATACGCAACAGTGTCTCGCAGCCCCGACACGAAGTGAGATTGGCGTTGCACATGGAAGGAGACGATGGATGGACATTGGGGTTCCGAGTATTCGGAATTTATTCAGGATCAAGCTGGAAAGGACATTATTGTGGATTTCTATTGGGATTACGAGTATCCCGTTGCATTTGTTGTCTGTTTCCATTACCGCCCGTCCATATCTCCTGGAGCAGAGCTGATTCGAAAATTGCAGGTTCAATTCTGCGGTGTACACTACATTAGCAGCGAATGATTTTGCAGTAGTCATTGTGACCAACAACCACTTTGAGCAAGCATCCCACTCGAACATGACAGAGGCAGTCATCAACTACTACAATGAATCATCCGGTGGGGGGCTCTGGGGATATACCACTGAGGACCTGATGCGTTGGCCCTCTTTCCAGCTGCTTAGGGATGTTCTCGAGGGGTACAATACCAGCGCCCAGAGCTACGAAAATCTGACACCGGCTCAATGTATAAAACTCTACAACACTGGCCTCATGTCCAGCCATCGAAACCTATACCTGATCGCCAAGCATAGTTCCAAATCTACACGCAACACAATCCTGGGCGAAGAAGATGTCTATGGCAATAACACTGAACCCAGTAGTTGGATCTGTAATAGAAGTGTGAGAGGTATCGACCGAAATAACCTAGGGGAAGAGGACTTATGTAGCAGCAGCTTGATAATCTCGCAGGTGGAGAGCGGGGTTCCATGGCGGGTGGAGGACCAAACAGGAGACCTGGTGGAGATAAGCGGATGCAAGAGCGAGAAGACGCCGGAGAAGTGCAAGGTGCAATTCTCACTGGGGATTATGATCGTTGTTATCTGCTGCAATTTTGTTAAGGCTTTCGGTATGATCATGGCCGTTGCGAGATCACGGGAGCCCACACTGGTTACGTTAGGGGATGCTATAGATTCCTTTTTGAGAATCCCAGACCCGACAACAAGGGGAATATGCTTTGCCGACCGGCGGTTTATTGAGAGGGAATGGAAGAGTGGATTGAGGACCATACCGGGGCAGTGGAAGCAAAAGAGGGTACAGAGGTGGTGGAATAGTGTTAGCAAGATAAGATGGGTTACTTGTATTTTTTTCTGCTTGATAGCTGTCATTGCCGGGGTAGTTTTACTTCGATCTGGTATGGGCCAGGACAGGCCGTACTTGGGGACGGATATTAAAACAATGTAAGCTCTCCCCTGCTCTCCAAACGCTTTCTTCGAGGAAGATATTAATGAAACGGAAAAAAGGTGGACCAGAGGCTTTGGAAAAGTAAACAACGTCTCCCTAGTCAATATAAACTTCCGGAACATAACCGAGGCAACCCTCCTAGCCAACCTTCCACAAACAATCCTCTCATTCCTCTACCTAACCTACAATTCCCTCTTCACCTGCATGCTCTTGGGCCACGAATGGTCCCTCTTTAGTCACCACCACCGCACCCTCCGTGTCACATCCCCTCGCCCAGGCCAACGCTCCACATACTGGCTTCAATTACCTTACACCTACGCCATCCCTCTAATGACCCTGAGTAGTCTCCTCCACTGGGTGACCTCCCAATCCATATTCGTCGCAAGTCTCGAGATATCAGACCAGCTTGGGAAGCCTACTTCCTCAACAATAAGTAGCGTGGGGTACTCCTGCATTGCTATAATTTCCGGGCTGATGCTGGGAACTCTTGCCCTGTTGACTGCCATCGGTATGGGGTGTAGGCCATTTGCTGCAGAGATCACGACTGTCGGGAGTTGCTCCGCTGCGATTTCGGCAGCCTGTCATGCTTGGGGGGAGGATTCCCGGGCTATTACAGGAAAAAAAGTGCGCTGGGGGGATGCGGGGATAGTGTCAGACCTGGGGGTGCGGCATTTGGCATTTTCGAGTGAGGTGGGGGTCGAGAAACCTGTGTGGGGAGAAGTTTATGCCGGGGTAGGGAAAGAGGGGGAGTGATAGCTTGTGATTATTTTTCGGAAAGTTTTTCCCCTTAACCTCATCACGGGGGGGGATGGAGTTGAGGGAGGGACTAGATACATTTAGCTTGGGATATTTGGTGCG